CAACCCACATTCCTGAGAAGTTGCAAAAATTCTTACCTTCAAATGTGATAAGTATGGGCAAAAAAAATTTCGAAAATTTATTCTTGTAACAAGTCAAGTGAAGTTTTCAGTCAGTGACAACCCGCACAAGTGTCCCAGGTAAGCCATGCTCGCTCACCCTAATGTACAATCTAATAATAAAGAAACCGACCGAGTTCTACCATCATCTATAGGTGTTGTGGTAAGATATCTTTGGCATTTTTAAAATAATTAAAGATGTCATTGCCAACAATATTTTTTTTTTTAATTCAATATCAGCTTTCGATGGCTTAGCCATCATCATCAGTTGTCTGCTAGATGGAAACCACAAAACGACTACCATCATCTGCTACTTTAGGCAGCTAAACGTGAATCTGATATCTTTTGAAAATGTCTAAAAGCACAAGAAAATTAGAACAGAAGCAGTATCCTGGGCAGCAACTACAGAAAATCAAAATGACCCATGAAGAGAAGGTACACTGTGGTGACAAAAGTCAAAAGATGGCAATATCCAAATTACAGATTAAAGAAGTATCACATACAAAAGGTATAAAAGGGCAGTGCATTGGCTAAGCTTTCATTTGAATTCGAATGATTCACATGAAAAAGATTATTGATGTAATTATGGTTGCACAATGGGAATTAACAGACTTTGAACGCTGAATGGTAGTTGAAGTTAGATGCACTTTTTGGAAATTGTAAGGGAATTCAACATTTCGAGATCCAGTGCATAGAGAATATCTAATTTTAAGCAAAAACTCTCAACTCATCAATGCAGTGGCCAATGGCCTCCACTCAATGACCGAGACCAGTGGCGTTTGCATGGAGTTGTCAGTGCAAAGAGACTACTTGAAATAAATGAAGAAATCAATGTGGAACATACAACGAATGTATCCGTAAAGACAATGCTGTGGAATTTGGCTAAAATGAGTTGTAGCAGTAGAAGACCGACTTGAGTTACTTTGCTAACATGCCTGCAGTGCCTCTCCAGGACTCTTGAGCATTGACTGGACCCTAGATGACTGGAAAATCATCACTTGGTCAGATGAGTCCCAATTTCGGTTGATAAGAGCTGATGGCAGGGTTTGACCCCACAAAGCCAAGAACCCAAGTTGTCAACATGGCACTGTATAAGCTGTTGGTGGTTCGATAATCATATAGGCTATTCCAACATGAAATGAACTGGGTACTCTGGTCCAACTGAACCAATCACTGACTGGAGATGGTAATGTTCAGATACCTGGAGACCATTTGCAACCATTCATGGACTTCATGTTCCATAAACAATTAATCATTGTTTAGGATGACAATGCATCATGTCATCAGGCAGAATTATTTGTAATTGGTTTGGAGAACATTCAGGACAATTTGAGCAAATGATTTGGCCACCCAATCACAAAACATGAATCTTATTGAACATTACAGGACATAATGCAGAGGTCAGTTCATGCACAAAATCCTGCACTGGCAACACTTTGTAATTATAGAAAGCCATAGAAACAGCACGGCTCAACACTTGCCGAATTGCTGCAGTTCACGGGACAAAAGGAAGTCCAACACAACATTAGGAGGTATTCCACGACTTCTGTTTCTCAGTGATGTTATAACGAAAATTTAGACAACAGATTATTAAATAATTTAAACAATATTTCTGCTTTACTGTGAAGATAATTGAAAATATAAATGAATGGAGGCTTTTAGCAAGGAAGAAAACTCGAATTCTCCATTACAAAGACGGTTGATTACCTGCTTCTTATTCAAAGAAATGTCCAGCATGCCCTGGAACCTCTTGCTTTATTATAGTAACAAAGATAATTTGAATCAGAAATCACAGAACTGTTTACTTACAAACATTAGATAATGGTTGACAGATGAAACACAGAAACAATGCTATCACTAGTGAATCCATTTCTAGACAAAAAACGTCAATATCATTTATCCTACTGCCACGCTTTTAGACACAAAAAGCTATGTACTAATACACGATTAAACTAGTGGAGCTATGACTGCACATCCTTTCTTGAATTACTTGCAATGGATATATATAATGATACATGAACCAGCAAAAGTTTCCAACCAACACAATTTTTTTCTCCACACTGGGATTCTATCTCATTATCTTAATGTTAACACGTCATTCACATTATCCCTACATTTACATTTCTACTGTTTTATTTCTTAGGCCATTAGCCTTATTTCAAAAATCAATGTACAATATTATTTTACTTGTCCTCTGCTTCAACCAAGGAAAAAAAATTTTTAAAAATTGGAAATGCTTTTGAGAAAATAATTGTTTAAAAACTGCCTATATTTCACACAAAATTACTTGAAAATTATTATTTTTTTATCTGCGTAAAGTTAACTTGTTGAGTTCATGCCACATTGAATTGCAACACCACATTATGTAAGATTTAAAAGCTTATACCATAACAGTAATGACCCAAGAACAAAATACAATGAGGTGTGAGGCGACTACATAGAAAGGCTTTGGGACGAATACATTGAATACACTATTACCAACCTGCAATTGAGCCATTTCTTCCACTGCAAGATATAATGAAGGATTCAAAACTTTGAGATCCAAGAGAGGATGATGCTGTATTTCATCTAAGAAAGCAGCAGATTTCTTTGCAACAGCGTAACGACGAAAATCCCAGTTATGAACCACTCGTGCAGGTATTATCCATTCTTCTCCAACATGGCATTCAGCACAGTAGTAACCACCACCAAAAGAACAAACTCTGCAAGATAACAAATTATTTATTTATTCATTCAAACTTGCACATTTCTGTTGAATACATACACAAATTACAAACTTATAGTAACTGACAAGCAGCATATAAAATTAACAAATTAAAATAGTGACCTAATGAATATATTTTGTTCAAAAATTCTAAAATTATTTTCATGTTGTTAATACATTACTCTACTTAAACAGTACCGTGCTTTCCCAAAATTCATTCCAACAGGATGTCCACAACCTTTGCAAGTATAATTCTGGGTGTCAAGACCTGGTTCCTTTGCAAGTTTACCCAATTGCTGCACCATACTTGTAAATTCCTAGAAAATCAATTTATAATTCAAACAACAATAAGTATATATA